AGCACGCTCAATAATAAGTTTGAATTCTAGAAATCCTAAGAACTTCTTGTAAAATTTTAAAAATGATTCCGTTGTTTGCAAAGTCTTTTTAATAAAAAATTATAAAAGTAAATGAAAAATGATAGAAGATTCTCTGAAAACTTTATGTGCTGATCATAATACAAAGTCGGAGTTTTTCTATTGTGGAACGAGATTTATATTCGTTTTCAAAAATTTTTATGAGATTTTCAACAATATAATAAATGGTTTTAGTAGATCTGTGTTTTTCACGTGAGAATTTCGTGAATTCAGTAAGCTTCAAAATTTTTCGTATAAAAAAATCAATAATCGTTGATAAAAACTGAAACATAAACAGTATTATTATGCGACTAGAAGTTTTGGGTCTTCAGCTAAATTAGACAAAAAGAATTGATACTAAGAAATCTTTGGACATGTTAGCTGTTTTTAAATACTGTCACATTTTAATAATTCTACAGAAAGTAGAACAATACATTGAAGGAACATAGAGATAAATAGATAAATATCCTAAAATGATGTCTTTACCTATCATCATTATTTAATTGAGTATTTAATCATCAATACAATCTACTCTTCTTCGACATCGATTCAAAAAGTCGTTAAAGTTATATGGAAAGGATGCTCAGAATATGAGAAAATTATGAAATAAATTGGTTATAACATTCAGAGGTTAAATGTGTTTCACTAATTGCAAATTTAAAATGTTGTTTTTGTCTTGCAACATGACCTGTCTTGCCGCTCAACAAAACTGGGGTCGGTAGCAGGATAGGACAGCAAAGTTCGTCCTGTGCTCATCTCTGATATGTGAATGTTATTAAAGTAATAACTTATTGTGTTTATTTTTTTGTATTTATTAGGTCAAATGTAAGTCAACAATAAAATTATGATATTTGAGAAAATTGTGAAATAGACTGGTAATAAAACGGTTGAAAGGTTCAATATTTGCTTCACCTACTCGAAAATTAAAGGAGTTATCATATTTGTCTTGGTTGATATCCTGTCCTGTCCTGCAGGACAGGACAGGACAGGACGATAAGTCATTTTTTGTTCTCTCCTGCCGCTCAACAGGACAAAGTTGATTGCAGGACAGGGCAGGCCAGGACAAAAAAAAGTTGTCCTGTGGTCATCTCTGATCTAGAATAAAATGCCATGGTTCATACTTCAAAATGATAAAAAATCAGAACAATATCTTTTGTTGTATGAGAGCAGAGCCCGAAACAGGGAGGATTTTCTGTTCTCCACCCCGTTTTTCCCCGGACAAAGTTTCCCTCGCCTCACCCCGCCCCGGTTTTAAATATATTTTTCATCCCCGCCCCGCCAGACCTCGTCCCACCCCAACTATAAATTTTTTTATTTGCATCTCGTCCCAACATTTTTTCTTTTTCTCTCTGGTCCACCTTTATAAAATATATTTTTATCTTTTATTAATATAATTTATTTAATTATATATTGAAAGAAAAAAATGATGAATGAATAAAGAAAACTACAGAAAGAAAATGATGCATTCATATTATCGATCAATCGTTTTGTTTATTGTGTTCGATTGAACAAAGAAATAATACATTACATTATTAACAGTACTTGGATCTAAACTTGATCGTCTTTGATTTACAACTTAACTAACAGCCGCGAATTCTTTTTCGAATGTTTAAACTTGTCGAAAAATTTAGTCATAATGCATTGATGAAGGAACATATTTAAATGTTCCCCTTGAAATCGAGTTCAAAAGTATTCTATCATCTAGTGATCACCTAAAATATCCCAAATATTAACATTTCAGCTGCTTTCGTTAAGGTCTAAAAAATAGTATTATTCGATATTTTTGCTATGTTGTGTATCCTCTTGTCTGGCGCCTCATTTCATTATGGGTTTGATTTTGTAAAAGTTGCAAAAAACGTAGCTATTTGAGCAAAGAGGCTGTATAAAATGAATAAAATTTCTGATTTATACCGCTTCCTTGCACGAATAAGTATGTTTTCTGCAAATTTTACAAAATCTAAACCGATTCAATGAGGTGCCAGGCAACAGAATACACAACATAGCAAAAATGTTGAAGAATGCCATTTTTTAGACCTTAATGAAAGCAGCTAAAATGCTGATATTTGGAATGTTCTACGTGATTACTTACACGATAGAATACTTTTGAAATCTATTTCAGGGAGGACATTTAAATATATTCCCTCATGAGATCTATCTCATGTATTAACATTGATTGAAAACTTCTTTTATCTTTTCTATCGACACTCTTCTAATGATATTAAATACTGAGAAACTTTGTTACAGTGTGATTTTGCTTGCGTTAAGAATAATCATTTTATTTGAAATAATATTAGAATATTTATACATGAAAAAGAGGGAAATATCCAAGCGAATACCACCTGTAAAATGTATTACATTTTAGGGAAAAAAACCTGATGATGTTATGTTTTTTTTCCTTGGAAAATAGGTTAAAAATAAAAGAGAGAGAGAGAGAACAGAAGGAAAATAACCATAGAACGAAAGAAGAAAAAAATCCCATATGTATATAAACTAGCGAAAGGAAAATTCCGTATGTTATACGTACAAGCGAACGAAAGAAAAGTGTTCGCTTACAAACTTCGTGAATATAATTTAATCCCCGCCTCGCCTTGTCCCGCCGTACCTTCACCCCGCCCCGTTCAGTCCCGTTACGACTTCTCTCTCCCCGCTCCGTTTCGAGCTCTGTATGAAAGTAATAAAGAATTTAAAATAGGTAGTTACTTAGTTACTTTTCAACAGGGACGGCGCGACTGGGAGGGAGAGGGGGTCACCTCCCCTCTGCGTTTGGAAAAATATGACTGATATTCTCCGATTTTGGACTTTCTTTTCTCCGATTTTTGTATGTGTTCTCCACTTTAGAGGGACGATTTCGCCGATCTTGGATTCCAAAACTAGATCTTGATATACGAATTTCTCCTGAAAAACTAAGATGAAGAGCAAAAAAAAAGTTCATCAGTTTTGGTTTTTGGAGAAACTTGGACAATATGAGAAGAAAATTTTTTGAAAAATGGAGGCAAGAAAAAAATTTTTTGATCTTTCTCCGTTTTCGATAGTATCTCCCCCCCTCCTCCAACCCCTTCACGCCGTTTCTGATTTCCAAATACTCTGTAATACTACATATTATAAAAATGAAGCTCCATAATAAACGTTCTGATAAAACAAAAATGACTTGACGAATTGAACGCTCATAAACAATGAAACAATGTTAGACGAAATACATAATGCATCATCCATTCATTACAGTTTTATTTTATAACATTCATATTTATTTTGATTTCATTGTTGTCATAAGGTCCAAACAGACTGAAAGAAAAAAAAAAAAAGAGGCAATTAACACTGAATTAATGAATAACTCGTCTAAAAAAAAAATAAGATGATATAAATCGAAATAAACCAATCACATTGCTATCTTCGTTTTTTTTTCAGTCTGTTTGGGATCGTAGATGGCAATGATGAATGCATATATAAAATGAAATGAACAAGATAAACGATGTTAAACAGACATGAACACTTCAAATAACAATAAAGTTAATACACTCGATTTACCTAATGAAATATTATTATTCATATTCAATAAATTGAAGACGATCGATGTTCTCTATTCACTTGTGGATGTTAATGAACGATTTAATCGATTAATATTTAATTCACTTCATATTCGAAATCTTGATATGACGAATATGGTTATGAAATCATATTTTAATCGTAACTTTTCAATGGATAAGAATGTTATTTTGAGAATATCTGAAAAAATTTTACCACGAATTTCTCATCAATTAAATGAACTTATTGTTGAACGATATTCAATAGAATATATTCTTTTTCCTTTTAATTATCCACAACTTTATTCATTATCACTTATTAATTTTCAAGAAAAAATACTTTTTCAATATTTAACAAGTATATTATTCAATTGATAAATAAATAAAATATCTTTATTTATTAAATATTTAGGTGATTCTCTTCTTCATAATCTTCTTACTCAACAAATTACAGATCTTAATGTTGATATTTCATATAACTCAAAATCAGAAGTATCTAAAACTCTATCAAATATATTTACATTGATTTTATCTATGTCTCAAAAATTAATTAATTAAAATTTTTGTCAATTATTTTCTTATCGAAATACAAGAATTTCATTTTATAAATTATCATCAATAAGTTGTGTATCATCAACTTTAACAAAATTAAATATTAATGTTGAAAGATTTGATGATTGTCTTTATCTTCTTCAACATCTCAAATCTTTATTAATATTGATTATTGATGTTAAAAAAATTATGATTCGTGGTAGAAATAATAATAATAACGTAAATATAATTTCATTTTTTTTTTTTTTTGTATTATGAAAATAAACAAAATGTTAATTTTATTTTTATTTATAGGAAAAACTTCCTAAATTGAAATATTTTTCATTGACTTCAATAATGTTTACAGATCACTATGATGATCAAATAATTCCGTTACTTCGTCGAATGATAAATCTTAAAGAATTAACATTATTCTTGGCAATATCTAAAAGTTATTCAACTTATATTGATGGTATTCAATTAAATGATGAAATTCTTATTTTATATGTCACAATTAAATAAATTTACATTCAGTATAAATACAATTGTTCTTAATGAAAATATTAAAATTAATCTTCCATCAAATGAAGATATTCAAAATAGTTTTATTAGAAAAATATATGGAAAAGTTGGTTCATATGTAGATTATAGATCAGAGGATAATATTGGAGTATCACATGTTTATTCACTTCCATATCAATTTAAATATTTTCTTCATCATACTAACTTTTTTCAAGATGATATATTTTATACAGTTCGACATTTAAAAATGCAAGATGGACGTTCTTTTGAATAAAATTTATTTAAAATTATTTCTCAATGTTTTCCTCTTCTCAAAGAGTTATGTGTTATTAATTGTATACCACAAAAAAATAAACAATATTTACCGATATTAATTATATTTCCTCATCTTATTCTTCTCGATTTGTATAAAATACATGTTGATTATGCAGAACAACTTCTTTTTGATAAAAATATTCATCTACCTTGTTTATTAGATCTTTGTATCAAATATAAGTTACTCGAAATTATAACAAATAATTTTACTAATAATCCAATACGTGATTATTGTGCTAAAATAAAAAAACTTCATATAGATAAATTTATACCACCAAAAAATTTTCATGAATATTTTCCTTTATTGTAAATATTTATTTTGTTAATAATTCTTTGAATAAAAAAAAATTGTTTATTAAAAATAAAATATATTTCTATTAATGAAAATAAAATCAGAATATACTAAATGAATATTTCTATATTCTACTTAAACAAAATTCGTGTATTATATATCTAGGGTGTGACGATATTTTTGATCCTGCCCTAAACGAATTTTTCTTTCTATTTGAAAATAATTTGTCTATTTTCTTTATGTTAATCAAGTATTAACATATAAAACGAACGAAAGAAAAAAAAAACAATTTATTTCTTGGATTCGTCTAGTCTAATTCTAACCGAAATATTTAAATAGAAAAAAAAGAGAGAGAGAAAAATATAGACATATAAATAGTCAATTCAGACTTATTTGAATGAAGAGAGAAACATTTCATCAATTTTATCATCTATTCGTTTCTTTATTGTATTAGAATAGGTAATATAAGGTACATTTTTTTAAAAATAATTATTTGTTTTTTTTTTTAGTTATTTTCTATTCAACTTCATTATTATGATATTCAACATTTAAAATGAAAAAATATTAAATAAATATTTTTTTTTAATTTAATTTTTGGTTTTTTTGTTTATTTTGATAAAGATCATCATCCTATTGAATATCAATTTAATTCAAAATTATTTTGATTTTTATTAATTGCTTATCAATTTAATCATGTTATTAAACAAACAAAAATATTAACAGTTAAACATTGTGTATAAAGATAAAATTATTTTATTTAAAATAATATTTGACAAAAATTTTCTTTATTAACAATTAAATATTTAATAAATAATGATAAATTAATATCATTTGTATTATTAATTAAACAAATATTTTTTTCATAAGAATATTATTAAACAATATCAATATCATACATAACAATAAATTAAACAATTAGATAAAGAAAAAAAAAATTAAATGTTCTACCTTCTTCTTTTTGTGTACTCAAAAAGTGAGTACACTCTAGAATCGGTCAGTATGTCCGTCCGTCCGGCCGGCCGTTAACACGATAACTTTTGAAAGGAGAGTCCAATCGCGATGAAATTTTCTGCACAGTTCAGTCTTAACAATGTCTCGGTCGAGTTCGAAGATGAGAATGATTGGCCGAACCATTGCTGAGTTATTGCAAAAATAGTCATTTTTCCCTATGAGAAGATAGACCCTTCTCTGTTTTCATAAAAAACTTTTCCTATCATAGTCAGATAAAACCCCAACTATTATATACTATTCGATAGAGAATTTCACGAGCTACAAAATGGTATATAAAACATAAAGAAACAAGAAAGCTAACTCGCCTATTGCAAAGATAATTAATCGGAATTCGGTTCTGTTTTTGTCCACGCTCTATATGATCCACAATTAGAGTTCTATCTTCCCATCACAGAGATAATAGTTCGAGGTTTTCTAGAATGGAGAACTCGAATCTGTGTTCCATTCGCCTCGAAATCCCATTGGTTGAGCAGTGACCAATAGAAATCAAGTTATAGGAAAAACGAGTTTCTTAGGGTAAATCAAGGTGAAGAGTTCAAATCTGAGTTGTATTCACCCCCAAATCCTATTGGTTGAGCAGTAGCCAATAGAAATCAAGTGTTTGTAGAAAAGGTTTACCAGGATAATTTTTATGTCCCCACATTCTAGGATAACTCATCTGCCTCATTCACTTTTTGAAGTACATATAACTCTTGGATTTAAATCCGAGGTTTCCACATTTATTTATTAGAAATCTCACTTATCTTCTGTAGCGGCGTAACCAGGATTTTGATGATGATGGGGCTCTGATGGGGCTCAATTACTCAAATTCTGCCCAGTAGTGGGGCTCATAATAGAACTTAGCTGAAGCAGCTATGTCAGGTGACGAGGCTGAGCCCCAGCTGGCAGCAGCTTGGTTACGCCACTACTCTTCTGTATATTATAAGAACCTTCCATAAGAGAATCGCGCCACTTCGAGAAAGTATGCACCAAACATAATAGAAGTTTCTTTCTAAATTAGTTAATTATTCAGAGACTAAGAACTTTAATTAATGTATTTACAGTAAAAGATACCTAGTTTTCAGAATTTTGAACTGAAAATCTTTAAAAAAGCACGCTCAATAATAAGTTTGAATTCTAGAAATCCTAAGAACTTCT